GCATAATTCGATTTCCACAATGGTCATTTCCTTAGTTTTTCACATAGGCAACCCAGGTTTGAATCACCATGCAGATGTTTTTATAAAACATTTTTATAAAAATTATTTTTGAATAAAAAACTCCTCATTTTGTACATTAAGAATAATTATATCATGTTAATTGGATAAAATAATAATTTTATCAGTGGACATTCATAGATATAGGTTACAAATCATATGAATAGTTCATTTTTCATTATATAAATGTTTTATAAACTTTTTATTAAGAATTATTTTTTATGGGCTTGAAATTCTTTAAATTCCTAGTTAAAGACTCAATTGAACAAGATTAATGATAATATAACTCTTCCATTTCGTTTTTTTACTAAAAAGAGAGGTTACAACAAGAGGAAAGTTACTTTTTCATTACACCTCTCTTCAAATTCGAATTTACTCTTATTTTATCTCAAAAATATCTTTTATGTTAAATTAAGTTTAAAGAAATAGCAACAGTGTAAAAGATAAAGGCTTTTACGTATTTTGTTCCTCTATATTTCAAAAGAATCAAGGTAGGTGGTGCTAAATATTTACCCTTTTTGTTCTTTATATATATATATACACGCTAGTAATGTGTGTTAGAATTTTGAAACTATGAATAAAGAAGTTTATGTATGCCTATAACTGATTTCTACGATTCCCAAGGGATTCTTTAGAATCATGAATTTGTCAATATTCATCTATGTGAAATGTTAAATTCTTTCCTATCACTTTGTATATATGTATATATGTTTATGACCAAAATGATGCACCATGTGATATTAGTCCTGTTGGGCTTAAAGCTCACAAATTCTATGCTGATAATTTTTTTCAAATCAAAGGAATGGTTGAGCAAGTGGAATTTACGTGGATTGTGGAGGATCCGAAGAGAGAAAGGTGCTTCATTTGTGTAGTTTGTCACATCCAAAGAGTTTCTAGTTCTAACTAGTTATGCAACTTATGTTAAATCTTTAAAAAATGTTAGTTTATTATTATTTTTATTTTAAGATTTCCTAGTTCCTTTTTTCTTGATGTGAACATTTAAATTATTATTTTGCTTAAGTATGCATATAATTAAAGTTGTTAAACAAGTTTTAGATTAAACGTTAGACTTGTAAACAAATTTCAGCTTACTGTTTGAATTTTGATTTTTGGACAAAACTAATGAGATTTGAAAGCTCTATGAGTCCTCTGTCCATTGGATTTGGAATCAAGTCAATTGAGGGTTGGTAGGAAAGTTACTTAATTTTTCGTGTGCTATGTTCAATGTACTCGAGATAGTTTTTTTACACATGTTTGATTGTCCATTGAAGTGTTTAAATGATCTTAGAAAATTCTAAAATTTTACTATATTATACTTCAATGAGTTTAGAAAATGCTGTAAATTTTTTTATAAAATTATGTATCGATAAATGGGCCAACTAAATTTGATCGTAGAGTAGTGCATTGCTGAATTTAATTCTTTTAATGCAAGCTAACATTTATTTGAACTCTCTGTTGTAGCTTCGCTATTTAATAAATTAAAATTATCTTATCTTAAATCATTTATTCCCAAAAAATTTGAGAACATGTAATAGAATGCAATGGTTAAAAAAAATAAAAAATAAAAATAAGTCAACCCGAATTTTTGAAAGAAAGAAAAGGAGCATTATTATTTTTGTACTAATTTCAAATTTTAAGATTTAGGTCATTACATCCACCTTTATTTTCCAGGAAGGGAATATGTTGTCCATGTCGTCTCTGTTGCTTTTTTTAGCTTATATTTTTTTTCATGGATTGATTGTATACCTTATTTTTTGAGACCGTTGTTATTTGGGAACTCGTGTAATTGATATGATTGCTTTTGCCTTAAAAAGTAATATATATATATATATATATAGTTGAAAAATGGTAAGACCACATAATTGTCTTTCTAAATTTGACAATACGACTCAATACGATTAAAGAAAAGTGACGTGTGATAAAATTTGTTTGATAATTATTTTAGGTTTTCTTCAATTCTACATAGTGTAACACATTACACTTATTTCTTGTCGTATCCATGTTTGGCTAATCATAAAAAGTAAGTTAAGGTACTTCTAAATCAATTTTAATTTCTTAACAAAATTGGATAAATTATCCTTTTCACATTTCCTACGTTACAAAGACAAGAAATAAATAATTATAATGGGCTCATAAGTAATTTTGACTAATAAAAATTTATTTGTTAACTTTAAATTAAACTTCTTTGCAAGTTAAAAAAATAAAAAGATAAAGCTTCGCAAACTCGCTTTTTAAGTGTACCCAAAATTAACAAATAATTATAAATCAAAATTACCGCAATAGAAAGAAAATATCATCGTTTGATATAGTTGTCATGTGGCCCATGAGTCCCAAGAAAAATAAGACGAGCATCTCTTTCTCAACAATGAATGAATAAATGTAAAAGCAATGTATTCCTGATGGTCCTAAATCGTTTGTGTCAACCTACCTCACCCCGTCCCTACCCAATGCACCCAAAACAAGCACGAGTCATATTCGCTCTAAAAGAAAGAAAACCCTTGCATAAACAATTGGCAAATTGCCCCCAATACAAATTAAGCCTTTATTTGGTTTAGATAAAAATTAAATTTTTAGTAGATTTTGATAAAAATTAATAGTATTTAGTATTATGCTACTTGTATATAAAAATGATATATAAAGAATAACATAAAATAATATAGAGGGTAAAGATTGAAGAAAAAATTGGGTTTTTCTATGGGTACATAACCCATTACAGTCGGTTATGAACACATGGCAGCCCTCTATCGGAGCACAGCCCCCACCCTCCCCCGCAATAGGGGGTTGCCGGGTGTCCACCCGGTTGTACCTCTTGATGTACTCATAGAAAAACTCTAAAAAATTTGATTGTGTTTCAAATTGATAAATAATAGACTGATATGTGTTGTTATGTAAAACTTGATGTAAATGTAACAAGATCCTAACATTTATAATTAAAAGTTTGTAGGTTCCATAAAATATATTATTGATTTTACTTTTAGTTTTAATTGACGTTTCTAACTGGACCAAAAAGGGGCTAATATGAAAAACCAAAACTGTTTCCACCTTTGAAGAAATTCCATTTTGGGAAAGCCTCCAATTTTGAACTCAGAAAGTCGTACTTTTTTCTTTTATTTGTTTGATTCCTTTAACTTTTCCTCCTCCTTTATTTCTCAATTATTTATCACCAACTCCCAGCTAGGTTGTCACATGTTCCACTGATCATTTCGATTCTACCCACATGTTTTTTTAAATATATATTTTTTTAAATGTCAAAATAATTAATAGAGGGATGAACCTGGTCCCTCTGGTTCTTGCAGGGTTTCGTGGATCCTATGCAAAGGAAAGAATCTAAGACGCTGGTCTGAACCAATAGCGTCGCTAAAGAGCAAGGTCTCTTTCTTCTTGTTTTGTTTTGTTTTGTTTTATTTACTCACTTCTCAGAGTAAGGGAAACGAAAGATTCAAAATTTGTGTACTAATTTTCAAAATTGACATAAAAGATTTTTATCTTCGAAACCAAATTCAAGGAATCAATATGCTAAAAAAACAAAATAATTCACTTATAAATCGATCGTAAATCAGTTTCAAATTTAGTCTATGTTCGACAACTATTATTTCAAAATTCTTTATTCTACATATTTATTTTCAATCACACATTCTAACAATAAAATATTTTGCACATAAATTCAAACTTTTTTTTCCCTTTTAACTGCATATTCTCAAAAAATTCACCATTCAAAATATTATCTTTGTCGAATAATAGCCATTAAATAGAGGCTTAGTATATCGATATTCAATTTATTATAAATAATTTTATTCATACGTCGTACCTTGTAAGGTACGTGAAATATTAATATGATCTGAAAGCCATGGATCATAACTTGGATGAAACATTAAATCTTCTTTAAGAGTTGTTCCCCACGTACAGGGAATAACTCACTTTTTTTTTTTTTTTCATCCTTGAATGATGTTTCGTGTGTACCTATATCAAATTTTGTGTAAAAATTTAGTACCTCTAGCAAAAGTGATATTTTAAACCTAGCTGTCAATATGATTTGTAGCCTCTGTCAAGTCATAAAAGAACACTTACAAACGATGATATAAAAATAAAGGTATGATTCATTGACCCTTAATTATTATCTAATTTAATATAAATAATGACAATTAAATCGAAACTTCCCACTAATTAATCTTACTTTCTCCCATTAAAAAATGCTTGTACTATCAAATTAAATTAAAAAAGTCCCATAATATAATCAAAGATGACGTCGTAGATGATGCAATCGTGCAAATTTTGTTAAGTTTGGATAATCAATGCTACTTATCAGAATAGATTATTTTGGGATAAGCAATTTTTTTTTTAAAGGAATAATTATTAAACCTCGTTAGAGAAATTGTTTAATGGTACCCATTTTAACTGTTTCGTAGGTCATGATAGATTTTAGATACAAAGTCCTCCTACCGTGAGAATCTCACTTTGTTAGATAGCATATTCCCTAGAATTAAAAGCAAAATGTATTGATCCCTTTTATTCAACTGTTAAGAGAGCTACAAAAATGCCATGCTCTTGGGAAAATTGGCTGTTTAAAATTTAGGGTTTTACCTTACAGTAACTTCGAACTCACGTGGTAAGTAAATGGTGTTTAAGTGGTAAAAACCCACTAGTCAATTCTTCATATAATTCAATCCTACGGATGATGTCTCACAATGAAAGTACACCTCCCAGATCGCCCCGTTCATAATTTAAGATCACATCGAGAAGAAGAAGAGTCCATTATGTGCAAGCACATTGGACAAACTTAACTTTAAAATTTGTTTAAAAAGCACTGTGCCGAAATAGTTATACAACCATGAGTCGAGCATTATACAATTGTCACAGTATTCCAAGCTTTCTAGTCGATATGGTTCTAAAATGAAAATAGATAGTGACATCCCATCATAGAATTTGCAATAACAAAACACACATTAAAAATTTAAGGTCTAATAATACTATGATAAGAACTAATACCATATCTTGTACATTGGAATTTTTTCACAAAAGATCCAGAAAACTTGTATAGATATTACAATCATACTGTATCACCAGTTACTAATCAGCAATGCAGAAGATCCAACCCAAGATTTCTTTTTTCCCGTTAGTTTGGACAAATTACCAATCCCCCTTTTCAGATTCTAATCATAAATTTTTGTCCCTTATTAGGAATTTTACAGATTCAGAGAAAATGGAGATCTTTAATGACAGAATCCTAGACGACGACTAAGCGGAACACAAGATTAGGTCAGCTATGAGGGTCTCGTGAGTGGGCGGACAATACTTTTGTGCAGCCAATTTTGGGGTCTCAGTATTTGCTGTCCGAATCCTGATGATGCTGCAGCAGTAGCAAATAATTGAGGAGATTTTGTTTGCCATAGCTGATCATTTGTTGAGATAGAAATCACTTCTCCGTTGCCTCTAATTCCACCACCATTGCTGCAGCTCGGTAACTGATTCTGTCAATTGTCATGTTCAGTTCCAACACTCGTTAAGAATTTTGTATATACTCGTGTATGGTTATTGAACTTTAAGCACTTACTCGATAACTTTGTGAGCCTACCGGTGAAGAGAACATTAGCATTCTTGGCTCATTGCCTTCCATGAACTGTCTATATTGGTGCAATTCGTTAACCTTCAATGAACCGGGAGAGTGCAGGTGTGTTTGGCTTAGAAGCTGTAAAGTATCATTTTCATTATATCCATCCCTTCTGTCAATTTGACCAAGTCCATTCTGGAAATTAAGCTGTGATTCATAAAAGTCATCAAATAAAAAACACTGCAAATTTTGGATTTTGGCATCAAATCAAGGCACATTAATGTCTATATACCTCGGATCTTGATCCCTGGAGTCGCAAATCAAATTCAAACGGCATTGTCGAACAATGCTGATCATGATTTTCATCTTCCAATTCTCTGCTGCTACACTTTGAAGCTGCATTCCCCAAACTCAAGTCTAGATTATGATATTCTGCATTGTTAGAAGATTCTGTAGTACAACCCCCCAAAAAAAAAAAATAAAAAAAATTCAATAAATAAATGAATTTTCGTCTCTACATCAGTTGAACAAAGAATTTTAAGAACTATGCCGGAACAAACGTGACAAATACCATTAATTTTACCTGCACCTCTGAGTTCTTCATCATAAATGCTGGCATCAAAATTTGTAACAGCATCCTTTCCATTACACTTGATGGCAGCTTTATCATAAGCCCTATAATTCCCAGACATTGTAATTAAGCCCCGGAAAAGTATTATACTCATACTTAATTCTTTCTACAATACATTTCCTACAAACCCTGTTGGCAACCTAAGCAGAAATAAATACAGACAACTCCTCTACAAGCTGACCTGGCAGCCTCGACTTCAGTATCAAAAAGACCCAGATAAACATATCTGTTTCATAAAATAAAACATGAATTAGCACAAAACAAGGTAATTAGGACAGGGATTAGTCCACAAACATACTGTAACGTAGATGATTTACTTTTTGCCTAAGAACTGGCCCATTCTAGCTTCCCATCTACCACATTTATGCAAAGTAACACCTCTATACTTGGAGCTCCCTTTTGGAAAACCTGTACTTTGTCGTCGAAGTACATGCACAAATTCTTCCTTTGTTAAATTGCTCATCTGTAATAGTTATACATAGAATATCAAGTTTCTTTTCTTTCTTGTGTCCAAACACCTCATAATTCAAGAAATGCAACTTTTGAAACTAAGCAAAAAGCACTGTACAAGACAAGGTGAAATGAAACAAAACAAGACTCTCTCTCTACCCTTTTTCTCTCTCTTAAAATGATGTACCTGTTTTACGTCTTCGTAATCTTCTAGATTGAAGTTTATGTCTGCTTCCGTTCCCCGGAACTTAATGGCTGCCCTATCATATACGCTGTCAAAGATTCATTTCCGAACATTAGTTTCTTCGGATTACAGATGACAAATGTGGAATTGAAACAGAGAGTTAGAGAGGGTAAAAAATTCACCGAGCTGCCGCGTGTGCTGTATCAAATCCACCTATAATTTCCCAAAACAAAAGCCCATTTGACCAATCAGATGATAAAGCAAGAACTTCATAGTCAAGTTGAGAAAAGAATAATCTTGTTTGCCAAATAAGAAGAATAAAGAAGGAAATTCTAACCCAAATAAACTTGCTTTCCACAATCCCTGAATTGGATTTAAAAAAAAAAAAAAAGAAGAAAAAAATAGATGAATTGTAGTTGAATGAAACAATTTCGTTTGGAACAAAGTGAGAACTAGCATTAAAGGGAAAGCAAAGATGAAGTTTTTTTTTTATTGTAAGTGTATACCATATGTGTGACTCCCACCGGCCAGTCCTCCGATAAAAGGTAACCCCACGATATTGAGAGCTACGAGACCTAGGCCCTCGTCGGCTTTTCTTGAGAGGCTGTGCAACCTCCGCCGCCGACTTCCCAAATCCACGCCCGCCAGCGCCGTGGGGTTCAGACGTGGATAAATTAACTCCAAATCGTTGAGCTTGTGGGAATTCGAGTGGTCGGTCGCTTGATGTAGCCCCAGTTTCGGACTCGTCGACCGGAAAGAACTGCCGAGTAACCAGCCATTTACACTCCGACGAGCATGGATTCCTGTCATCATCGTTGTGAGCCACAGAAAACCCAAATATTTTGCTGCTCCTCTTCTTTCTACCTCTTTCTGCAACTTCATCTTCAGAAGCATCCTCGATAACCACCGCCGACGAGCTTGAATTAGACACAGAGTCGACTCCTTTAAGCTTGTCATCCGTATAACCATCCGTATCATCAGCCCTTGTTTGATCTGGTGAATCATTGAGATTCCACATTTCTCTACTGATGGAAAAGATAAAAAAAATAAATAAATAAATAACCCCAAAGTGGTAAAATGACAGAAAACCAAAAAGAGCTGGCAATTATAGATAGAGAGGAAGCGAATTGATGGGTTTTCAGAATCTGATCAATACTGTCTCATCTTAAGCCAAATTTTGGATGGCTACAAAAGCTCGTTTTTGAATTTGTAGGAGTAGAATATTGAGGGTGGGTAGGTATAGATTATAGATATATTCTTTTGGGCAACCTATATAAAATAATTCTCAAATGGAACTGTATGCTGTCTCTTGAAACAACATAAAAACCTGTTACCTTAAGAGTTGTTAAAAAAGTAAAAGGTTTGTTCCAGTTTCAACTATTCAACTAGATCTCATGTTCCCTTCCTTGGCTGCCCAATTACGGTGTAGACGAGGCCAGTTTTTTCAAGACGTGACAAAAACCAATCTCTCTCTCTAGAATTCAAGAACGCACTCCCTTTCTCTCTCTATATCTCCCTATGTACGAATTTCGTACATTATTTAGGTTGAGGTAGAGGTAAAACCACGAATTCTTGCAAGATGGCTTTTATAAATCTGTTTCTACGTCCATTAACCGTTCTCCTTTCTTGAAAATATGTGTTTGTATTTATCAGATGATATCCTGTTCACATAGTGAATATTATAACTCTTGTCTAACTCCTGTCGAGATCAAATCCATCATATACTACATTGTCCCCATTTTAATTGACTCTTTTTAAGTCCTCGTTAAATTACATTCTATTGTAAAAGCTAAGTTTATTAGGGTTTAGAGGTGAATGACAATTATATCTCTACAATTCTAAAAATTATTACTGTTGTATACCTAATTGTGTCATATAAATAAAAGACATTGATTCTTAATAAAATACACACAGGTCTATTGACTTCTCTTCGTTCTCTTCACTTTTCTTCTCTTTTCACAGTACATTTCACTTTTTTTTTCCTATTTTCATTTACACAGCCTTTCATAAAATAATATTACACATAAATAGAAAAATTTTCCTTTTTTTTCAATCACTCATTTTTAAAATACTATTTCACCCATTTTCATTTCATAAAAATGCGGGTTAGACGGGGGTTAGTTTCCCGTGTCTTTTAGCCGCCGTTTTGAGTTCCATTATTTCTCATTATATTAAATTAAATTTTTCTCTTTCCTACTTTTAATCACACAATTTTCAATAAAATAATATTACACGTAAATCAAAAAATTTTCAATTACTTATTTTTAAAAAAAATACTATTTATCTCATTATAATCTACAAATAATGGGGTTCAAACGCCCTTAATTGTATTCACGTGGTTGGTTGTTGGAATATTAAATTAAGCAAAATGGAAAATACAGATCCATCTCTTTCTTACGCAACTTTCCGACGTTAACCAAATCGAAAAGCAAGCCCCCAATTTCCCTTTCTCCCTCCTCAAATTTCTTCCTACTTTAGCCATTTCTAGCACCAACACTAGAAGCCCAACTGATTTACACAATTACCTATATTAGCTTTCTCTAGTCATCGACCATTCATTCATCCACTCCAATGTCAATTCATTCTCTCTCTCTCTCTCTCTCTCTCTCTCTCTCTATATATATATTTGGCTTCTTTTCATTACAATATTTAAGTCCCTTACTTATTTTTGTTTAGTATTTAAAAAGATAATTTTGAAATATTTATTAATATTATGTGTGTGCTTTAACAAATATATTTATCAACTTTCAAAATTGATCAAATACGTTTATATTAAAAGTAACGTAAAGTTCTCCGATCAATTTGTATGTTTTCGAGTTGAGTTGAGTTGACCTGAAAACACAATCAATACAGTTAATTTAATCGACTATGTACGATATGTGAATACTTTAGCAACTACTAGTTAAAGATAGCACCCAACACTGGGAATAGGGCTGAGCAAATCTTTCGAATCGAACCCTACGGTTCTTGTCAAATTAAATACCCGAACGGGTATCTGAATTGAGAACCAACGGGTACGGTTCGGTTCTCGGTTCTAAATAGAACCGAATCTTTCTAATTTTTTTTATATTGAATAAATCAAATTATTTTAATTTTAATTTTTTCTAAACAAATTAACAATTTATAAATCCAAAATTTTGGCCCAATTACCCATTTTATTGTTTTATTTCTTAGCCCAATAAGATCCAATCCACTAAATAACCCTAACCACATACACTAAAGTGCATAACGCTGTCTCAATTCTCGCAGCCTCGCTGACATTCCAAAACCTATACAATCGTCGGCCGACGCTGTGACCTCCGCCAACCGAAGCTGTGATCGTAGCGATCATTTGAATAAGGTAGTCTACTAGTTTTTTACATTTCAAAACCATTGAACGTGTCATTAGTTTTATTTATATAATGTTGTTATAAAAAAAATAATCATAAAAGATACGTTTGAGCCATAGTGCATTTATATTGACAAGTTTTGAATTATGCATAAAAAAATCGTTGCACTTAAAGTCATTGAATTTTCATATAATGATAAAATATTTTCAATCTTTCAATGGTTGTCCTTAGATAATTTGTTGTGAATATGAAGTTTGTAATTTCACTTACAATAATGTTAGCGTTAAATAATATCACTGAAAATTTGAGTAACCAACTCACTTTCAATTCTGATGCCAAGATTTATAGTGTTTTTCGTGTTTTTCATATTTTAAATTTAATACACGACTAGAACATTAGATAAGCTATTGATTTTATTACTATCTCCCATCTCGTACATCTAACATTTGCAAGTGTATGTGCAATTCTAAGTTACCCGACATGGTATTTGCTACGATATAGGTAACTTGTGGAACACTACATATTATATAAATTATGATACAATTATTTATTAATATCTACCACTAGGCATTTGCGCTGTTCTAAAATTGATTTATATTTTAATGATTGGTTGATTATTCAATATTACAAATTTTAATTAAATATAGGGATTATTCAATTTTGATGACGTTATCTCTATCGTGGAGACAAATTTTGAAAATATTTAGAGTACTTATCTATGTTATTCCCAATAACTACGGCCATGGACACTCATTTTAATTTAGAAGGCTGTAAAGATATTATCGAACAATTTTTTTCCCTATTTAACGTTTGATTTCACATTTCACATTATGATGTAGAAAGTAATTTGTATAATTTATATACTCACTATGCTTCCAAACAAGGTATAATGATTCAACATCTCATTGTTCCAGAAGTCTTTCGTTTGTTGATGACGATGTATGAATCTATCTAAGTAATATGGTCATAAGGAATTCTTCCACTTCTCTCTTTATTCAAGTTCTAGTACCAGACAAACTAAATAAAATCCATATCTAAATACTTTTTTACCATATTCTTCGTGTGTTAAATTGAAAAAAAATATTGTTTTTGATAATCTAGCGTGGTGGCAAACAACTAAACAACAACATCCGATATAAACTTTGATGATATGTGATGAGTTTGTTTCACTCATGAATTTTGCACAAGTTTAGCTTGATTAAATGATAGATCTTGTGAGTATAGAACGTTTATGATGTGTTTGTTAGTGTTGTTTTGAAGATTAGGAGAGGCGATGCGAAAAGAGGTATTAAAGTGGACGAAATGGCCAAAAACAAGGAATTAGGACAGAAAGACGACGCTTAGGCGCTGCATTCATAGCGTCTAGACGCTACGAAACTGAAAAAAAGATGAAAATTGAACCCGAGAGGCAGCGTCTAGGCGCCGCAATCATAGCGCCTAGGCGTTGACGCAGCGCCTAGATTGAATATTTAGGACGCGTTTTTTTGGGCCGTTTTTAAATCCATAAAAACCCTACTTCTACATAAAACGGAGGGGCACCTATAAATGTATTTTTCTCATACTTTTGAAGGGTTTCTGACACATTGGAGACAAGACAACAAAAAGAGAGATTCAAAAGAGAAATTCAAGAAGATTAACACTAAGTAATTAAAGATTAGAAGCATTCATTGGAAGGGGAAGGAGATCTTGGTACAAGAATTCTATTTTTTCTTCTACATCTTTATTACAAATTCGGTGATGTATTTTAAGACAATTTCATAATTTTTTTCTTGCATTATGAGTAGTTAAATTCATTGTCAGGGGGAATAATGTAACCAATCGGGATCCTTTACATTCTCTTATTAAGATTTTCAGTTTTAATTTTTCCATGTGTTGATTTTGCTATGAGTTGAATGCATTAAATTATCTGATTAATAATTTGATGATTTTTGTGAATTCTTTACAAATAGAGATATGAGTTTAGGATTTAGACAATGTAGTAAAATCTAGTACATTGGTATAACGAGTAGATATACATATACCATTTATTGCCTTTATAATTGAACCCCTAGGATATAGAACCCGTTTAACTAAGTTGAGTTTGCATAGAAATATGAAATTTAATTAGTTGAATAAGCTCAATGAGAACCCGAGAGGGGTAAATTGAATACAATGGGAGAATTTGACCGAGCACTACATTAGAATTGAGATTTATTTGAGATGTGAAGGTGATCAATTGGTGAAGTTATTCTGCCTTAACATCCATTCACTATTTGATTCTCCAACCAATCGTGTTAACATCCATATATTTTCTAGAATTTAGATTAAAACTCAGATTTTACAACTTTTAATTTGTTTTAGTCAAATAGTAATTAAAAAAAATTGAATTAAGTGCTAGAAAATAGTCCTTGTGGGATCGACAATCCGGACTCTTAAGTCCACTATTACTTGTTACGGGTCGTATACTTGCGAAACAAAATTTTACAACAAGTTTTTAGCGCCGTTGCTGGGGACTATTTCTTTTAGTCTTAATTTATGTTTTTATTTTAACTGTTATTTGATTTGTTTATTTTTCTTTTATTTATAGAAAATTGTGTTCGTTGTATGCACCGTGTCCAAGGCGGCGATCTTGAACCGTTTGATTCGAAGATAGAACGTACCTTCAGAAAAAGACGCAAAGAACACAAACAAAAACAGTAACATCAAATGGCTGACAATCAACAAATCCCTATACCTATTCAGCCGATTGGACAAATGGCTGCAAGATTGGTGGCACCACCGGAACAACAGCACGAGCGAGGGAAAATAAATGAAGGTGATTTGCCAGTATCAATGTTTCTGACACCTATAACAGCACCCATGCGCTCCAGTATCATGTATCTAAATTTTGGGGTGAATAACTTTTAGATCAGGCCAGATTGGATTAACTTGATGAGCAACACCTTGCAATTCTACGGGCTACCTCATGAGAATCCAAACACGCATATCTTTAGATTT